GGGGTTGGGGGGTCGGGGGGGGGTGATAGGATTCCAGGGAACGATTGAATGTAGGATTTTGTTGCCGTTCATGAGTGACTGAGCAGACTGGTTGTTGACGTACAGTACAGGCAGTTTATAGGTCATGTGACGGCTACACGCTGACCTGGATAGAACCAGTGCCACAGGGCTGAGGAGCGAGGGCGGAGCAGCAGGAGGAGGGGCAACCGTGTCCACGCTGAATAATGCAGGACACCCGTCTGCACCACCATCACCGCCGTGGAAATGTCTGGTGCTACAGCAGGGTTTAACGCCACCATGAGGCTCAAGTCAAAACAGCCAAACCACAACACTGACGGTGACCATGTCAACAGTCTGGAGCTCTGCTCCACCTACAGACGCTACAGACGCTACAGACACAGTCAACTGACGGAGTGAACGGGGGGGGGCAGGTGGATACTTGTCATGCAACTCCACCAACTGTAAAGAGTGTGTGTGTGTGTGTGTGTGTGTGTTGGCATGCTGCAGGCCTGAGGGTGGACAGACCTGAAGTCTGTAGACTCCACAAAAACAACACACACCGTGTGTTGATCTGCACCAGCTCCAGATGTGGAAACATCTCCAACTTCATGCACAGTCTGTGACAAACCAGCGGTGTGTGTGTGTATGTGTGTGTGTGTGTGTGGCTTTACAACTGTCAGCTCTAAAACTTATGCACACAAACACAGGCTGTGTGTGATGGTGTGTGTGTGTGTGTGTGTGTCAGGGACGAAAATCATGGGGAGCCTGGACACCCCTGTCCTCTGCGTCCCACCCTACCTTCTGTGTGGCAAGTGGAAGACAGTATGGTGCTGGGAGGGCGGAAGATGTAGGGGAGATAACGGGAAAAACATTTCATCTTCTTCTCCGGTTCTTGCCGACGGGTTAACAGCGATGCGTTGCGGGCTCCACATCCGCACTGCCACCACCAGCACGGCCGGTCAGAGGAGAAGCAGGGGCTGCGGGAGAGGAGAGGACCGAAACTCCCTGTGTGTCCGCGGTGCAGAAGGCTCCGGCAGCATCACTGTCCGACAGGAGGCGCAGCGGCAGCGGCAGCAGACAGCGGCTCCGTCCTGGACTGGACTCGATCGCTTCACCCGAGTGAGAGCCGGGCAGAGCGGGGGAGGGAGGAGGGCTGTCCCGTTCCTGTCCGCTCTCACAGGGAAGGTCACCGTGCGCGCGCGTGTGTGTGATCTGGCCATGAAAACAAACACTCACGCACGCGAAACTAAAGTTTGGATTATTAAGGCCAAGAGAAAACGTGACTGAGCAGTTTATGAGGAGACTTTGATCAGTGATCGTAACAATAAGACCACACTCACAGAAATATAAACAAACAACACACAAACAAACATATGTTATTAAATAAATAATAAATATACATTTAAATAAGAATCCAAACACAATTCGTGTCACGACAATTTACATTTTCACAGTACAGTGAATAAAAAGTCTTTTTTCTTTTTCTTTTGATTATTTCACCCAAATGATTGTTGTTACTGTCACCCAACAGGGAGAGAGACACGGGGTGAGGAGGAAAACCATGACTCTCAGCAGCAGAAGACCTTGGTCCAAACGACACCCACACATGAAACATGAAAACCGATTGAGTCAAATGACAGTCTCAGCAGAAACCGTTACTCATTAGGTCACAATCTTTATCTGTATTCAGTCATTCTGTTTAAAACATTTATAGTTTGATAAAAATATAAATTCTTCCATTTTTTAAGCCGTTATGTCCAAAACTATTGAGATTATTAAAACGCCCTAGAGCATCATAAAACTAAATTAAAAATGTTTACTTTTTATTTATAAGTTATCCTTATAATAACTGTATCGATCTGCTGCTAACGAACACGATAGCGTTAAATACATAAAACCAGGCGACAGAATAACAGACAGGGAGTGAAGACAGGTTGGAGGAGGGGCTCAAACTGTATGTCCTCGTGTTTTAAATGGTTTAAATGAGCACATTCTTGTTACATGTAACATAATGAGTCCTAACAATTGTACTTTAGTTGTTTTATCGACGTCCATCTGCGATAAAAGTGTGAAAAACTATCGTTGCAGAGTTCTATTTCACGCTCCCTCACTGGTAGTATCGCGATACTTGAGCGTGAACTAATGCCAGCGGAAGTGAATGAAGAGCCTCTTTTCCGCCGGCCATAGAGGAGCTTGGTTTAGGGTAAGCATTTCTGTCAGTATATTTCAGTTTCTATCGTCATCAATCCTCTATTATGTGGCGGTGTAAAGTGAATAAAAGACCTTAATACACATTAAACCCCGTCAGGTTAAAAAACGTGACCAGTATTATAGTCATTTGGTTTATCGATGGCAAAGAAAAGCCCATAGTTTTCGAGCCTCCTGTGGTTCACGGCTGTATCCGCATGTCGGTTAAGGGCTGCCGAGTTGGTTCAGTCTCGGTGTTGGCCAGAAATGTTCTGCACCTTTATCGTCTTAAGTTTATTTTTTGTGTGTTTGTTAATACAACAACTTTGAAAAACTTATCCCTAACACTGTCACAAACCGCTCTGTTATGCTAACACGTTAGCATAATTTTATTAGCCTAGCGTTCGATGTAAAGCTAACCTCTGGTTAGGAGGTGTAGTTAACAATGCAGTTTCCAAAATTAATTATCTGCCTGTCAACAATACTTAAACACGCACGTGTCATTTTAGAATTTATTAGGAGAAATTTATCCTCAATGTGTGGTGCTTTGTTGCACACCGTTCAACCACAACGTAGTTGTTATATTCTGTTCTCTTTTCCACAGCACCATGAAGCTCAATCCGTTCGTAACCTCCTCCCGCCGCAAGAACCGCAAGAGGCACTTCAATGCCCCCTCACACATCAGGAGGAAGATCATGTCTTCTCCCCTCTCCAAGGAACTCCGTCAGAAGTACAACGTGAGGTCCATGCCCATCCGCAAAGATGACGAAGTCCAGGTATTGTTTGGGAAATCATGGAAGTTTATTTACAAAAATGCAAAGTGCAATCCAATAAAACATGATTTGCCTTGTGATGAACAGGTGGTCCGTGGACATTACAAAGGCCAGCAGATTGGTAAAGTGGTCCAGGTCTACAGGAAGAAGTACGTCATCTACATTGAGCGTGTTCAGAGAGAAAAGGCCAACGGAACCACAGTCCATGTGGGCATCCACCCCAGCAAGGTCAGACCCAGAGTTCTGCCGCAGTTTACTGTTGTCAGTCCTGTATTGTGTTTGCACCACATCAGTCTGTCTGTTCACTTACACCAGCTCTGAGGTGTGAGAAAACCTCTGACGTGACTTTAAATGTCCTCGTTGAACTGACACCAAAATAAGGTATCTTTTCAGCTGTCAGTTAAGAAGTCAACTTAGTGTTAACACCATTGCATTTTAAGGAATAGTGCGTTTTATTTTCTTCAAGCCTGATTGGATGACACCTCATTAATTATAAGTTATTGGTAAAGTACAGATACTTTTTGAACCCAATTTTTATCTTATCACAAGTGAAAACATGTCCTACAGATATATAATATATCCTATAGAAAAGGTTTAAAAAAATGTCATTGATGAATTTCTCGTTGGCTTTCTTAGTGTCGAGTTGCGCTGATTCATGTACAGTACATGCTCCTTTCAGCCCCCCCCCAAAATTTCATCTTTCACTTGTGTAATTATTTTTCCACTTCAACACCTCAAGACTTTGTTGTTGTTGTTTTTTTGCCACTTGTTCCATTTTTGTATCTCTTGTTCAGAAGGTTTAGGGTGAATATTGTGATGTTAAAAAAAGGGAGATTTCCTTTTAAATCTGTTGGTCCAACGTTCTGGAATGTTACACTTTACAGTTTGTTTGGATTACAAACCTGCACGTGATGGTTTTAACTTTGAGGCATAGATGTTGTTTTTACTGTTGGAAGTAAACATTTTAAATAAGTAAATGGATAGATAGCACTTTATTAATCCCTCAGGACGTCCTTCAGGAGATTTAGGGTAAGTGTGATTAGATGAAACTGATAACCAAACAAACTAAGGAGATGCCACAACATTCCATCCTTAAATCACCTGCTCATTAATCAATGCTAATAAAAAGATGAACCCAGATGTTAATACTTGTAATGTCACAGTGGATCCAGTTTGTTTTAGTAAAATGTTATGATGGTAAACAGATGTTGGTGGAGGATGAAGTAGTGGGAAAATTTTGAATTTTTATGTAGTACAATCAACAGAACCGTATGGTAATCATTTTTTAAAATGTTTTTTTCCCGAAGGTGGTTATCACCAGGTTAAAGCTGGACAAGGACCGTAAGAAGATCCTGGAGCGCAAGGCCAAGTCTCGCTCTGATGGAAAGGAGAAGGGAAAATACAAGGAGGAGACCATTGAGAAGATGCAGGAGTAAAATATCTTTTGCTGTCAATAAACTGTGTAAAAGACCTCCATGTGGTCTGTGTCGTTTTTCACCTCTGAACCAGATGACAGTAAAGAAAAGGAGTTTAAAATCATACATGCAGCATCTTTGAGTACTACTGTATATGGTGCCTTTTTAATTTAAACCTTTGCTGAGAGAAACTAACTCACTGGGTGAAGTCAAGTCTTTGTCTTAAATGTCTGACTTCACTGAGAAAGAAAAAAAATATTAAACGTTCTTTGTAGGAATGTAGAAACTTGGAAGGAAATTTTTTGGGCAGAATTTTGAAGTGGATTACATAAAGAAAACGGTTTGAAAAAAGATGAAAATAATCGAGGTAGAAATATGTTACTGTGATTTGTAATCCTTGAACGAAACAGAAGGTGTCACAATTTTTCCATAAGTGTGTTTTTTGTCTTTTTTTTCCTTCTCATTTACAAAATTAAATGTTTTATCTTAAGTTAGAAAATCTAGAGTTCTCAAAGGTGCTTTAGTGGAGTGTATCAGTACCTGGGGATATTGTAAAAGCAAGAGCAACTATATAGTCACAGATATATAAAACTTTACTTAATCTGGAGTTCCCTCCGGGATATTATAATAATACGAACATTAAAAGAATTCACGGGGAAACCTAAAAACAAACCGCAGTTAAACCAAGTCTGAGATTTTATTCAGATTCCATTCAGTACTAACTCAGAAGAACCGGAGTGAAATGTGGAACAGGTTCCATGTCCTCCATCCCATCCTGGAGCAGAGAGTTTAACACAGGACTGGGTTTGATTTCCTGTCAACGGGCCTCAAACTCCCACTGGTGGTACTTTGTCTCCCTCTAGTGGAATACTGGGGGATGTGATTCCCGCCACGATCAGATGAGCCAGTACTTGTAATTCCATATACCTGAGCTGCTGTCTGTTAATACTGATCATAATGGTGGTTTTCAGAGGTGATTCACGCTGTCAGACGTTTCAGAGCCACTGCCTAAGAAGAACAGAAAGAACTGACTCATATATTATTCTATATATGAGCAAACGTTAATATGACATCGTTTTTATCGTCAGGTGTGTTGTAGAGGCGGCGGGTTAAGTAACAACATCCAGTGTCTCACTTCTTTGTTCACTCATTAATGTGTTAACAGTGACGCCTGGCGGTGTGAAGCGTTAAGTCAAATATGGCAGTTACAAACCCGAGGCTTACTTCCGGTCAGGAGCCGAGGCTCCGCCCCATCTCACTATCGATCATGTGACAGCTGCTGCTGCTGCTTCCTCTCCGTTTGCTGCTTTTTTAACTGAATCAAACTTCGTTTAAAGAAAAAGAAAGTTTGTTTTTTGATTAAAAAAAAGACACCATCATGGCGGAAATGAGTTTTGTCATCGCCATGTCGGTAGTAACTCTGTTTTGGGCCATAGTTGGAGGTGTCGTTCCGGTGTTTATTCCCAAAGGACCAAACCGAGGGTAAGTTTGTTAGCTGCACTTTAGCTTTCAGCTAAACAACTTTAAATCACGAAGAAACGTACGTTTTAAAACAAGTTGACACCAAGAGGTGTTAGAAGGATATTAACCCCGACGACAAACCGATATCCAGTCCCGTAGACCGTGTTAGTTTAGTTTGTCCATCAGGAGTGTGGGTTGTTTTGACGTCTCCCAGCAGTTAATCTGGTTATTGCATGTTATTATGACTATTCATAAATCACTTTACTTTTTTCCTGTCACTATAATGTTGTGAACGTATAGACTGAACGAGTCCCGTCAGAGGAAGTCGTGTCCATTAACAGTTCCTGTATTCTCCATCACCCAGTCACTGTCACGGGTTCACTGTGGCAGAAACGGAATGTCATCACCACGTGTAAAAATATTAACGTTGTTGTTATTTTCTGCTGTTTCTACAGAGTGATTATTACAATGCTGGTGTTGACTGCAGTCTGCTGCTACCTGTTGTAAGTACAGTTGTACCTGTATAGTACTGTTGTAAGTACAGTTGTACCTGTACAGTACTGTTGTGAGTACAGTTTCAGACAAAATCATTGTTTTTCTGTTTCACATTAAAACTCACTATTAGTTAATTAAAACTATTAGTTAGTACTCCAAGCTGAATTGAAAAACTTCCGACTTAGTGATTATTATTATTGTTATTATTATTGTGATTATTTTATTCTTTCTTTTCAAAGCTGGTTAATAGCCATTCTAGCCCAACTCAACCCACTGGCTGGACCTGCTCTGTCGTCAGACATCATCTGGTACCTGAGATATCACTGGCCTTAAATGAGCATACGTCATACAGGTAGAAAAAGGTCCAATGTATTTGTCATGTGGTGGACTCCATCTCTACAGTGTGTTATTACCTATATATCTTTACAGGAGAGAAGCACCGGTGCTGAGACGTATGAACGGCGTCTTCTGTTTTTGTCAGAGATGATTCCACCACAAATGCCTTAAAATCAGCTCCTGTGTTCCGTGTGACGCCAACTGCAGTGCCTTGTACAAAGACGATTGCCAAAGGAGCTGCAGGAGTTGACGTGCCTCACCGAAGCTGCAGCAAACTTCACTTCCTGTTCCTGTTCTTATGCCATGTTTAATGTTGTTGTTGTTAACAATCCCTTTCCACAAAAATATATATGTTGTACAGTGTCTTTGTTCTGACCCTGCAGTCTGTTTATATTTCTGATGAATGTCATGTGATTGATGTGAAAATAATAATTCAAAATAAATAAATAAAACGTCAATCTGTCATATTTTGTTTTCAGTTTGTGACCTGAAGCTTTGATTCATTACTGTGGTGAGAGACATAAATATTCTGTTCTAAGAACTTCAGTTAAATCCCTGTTCCCATCCCTGACAGTGGGAATGAAATGTACACAGTGTAAATGAATAAACAGTCCATATAACGTGATCTTTTTATCCCAAAGTTCACAAAATACAAGGTTTTCTTACGAAAATAAAAAGTGATTTTTCAGAAGCTGCAGTTCTGCAGTTCTTTTCTAAAAAAACGAGTAGAATAAAATAAACTTTTTCCGTTCAGAATACAGAAGATAAAGAGTTAAAGGAGTCCTGCCATCGTTGTTCCGAGGAGAAAGGGATGTTTGATTTAACTACTACACTGGTGTGGAGCTGGAGCTACCACAGAAGACTCAAACGTCTGAACAAAAGTCCAAAGATCCTCAGAGTTGAACCAACCCTCCACGACAACACGGCGCACTGCTCCTTTAAGGACAGTAACATTAATATATCACAGTCCTTTAAGTTTTCATTGTTGTCCTTTCATCTCTGCCACAGTTTCTCTGTGAATGTGTGCGAATATAATCACGTTTGTTATCGAGGAGAAAACAGCTTCGCGTTTTGAAAACTTTGAGTCACTCTACTTGCCGTAGTCAGCCGGCTACGTTGGCAGCAACATGGCGTCGTCGGATGTCAACGTTCGGATCTGTGAACAAGAAATCCTGAAATATGACCTGGAAATCAAAGCTCTGATTCAGGTGGGTGACGATACGGAGAGGTGACGAAGAACGAGGTGAAGTTTGATACTGTCACTGAGCGGAAGTGTTGGATTTAGACTGAAGTAAGCGGAGTGTAGACATGACGTCATCGTCATCTGAGAGGCTGCATCAGTTCTGTCAAATGTACAGAGCGATAAAATCACGTGACTGCTCTCCTGCTCATAAAGACATTTTTATATCTTTGTGCTCAGTTGAACTAAGAGTGAACGGTGAAACGTGTGTTTTTATTAAATGTTTGTTTTTGTCCGGAGGCTGTTTATGTTGTTAATGTGGAGAAGTGAGTCATCGTTCTCCACACACACACACACACACACATCTTCATGTTTAGACACATGAAACGGTCCGTGTCTGATGACCGTTCACAGGTGTTCTCGTGGTTTGACCTTAATGACCCGATAACTCGGTCTGTGACCTTTAGAATTTAGTAGAATTTCGTCCCAGGCTGTTGTACTCGGTGTGAGTCTGGTTCTTGGACTAAGTTCTAAGTCAAGAAGATGTTCTGTGGTGTCTTCAGGACATCAGTGAGTGCACTGGACCTCAGAGCACGCTGACCGATCTGAACGCTGACGTGAAGAAGAACTTCCACAGCCTCAGATCCAGGATCCAGGTATGGAGTCACGGTTGTTGATTGACAGGTCCATCACCTCCATCATGACTCTCTCTGTGATGAATCAAAGGAGACTTTGGTTTGTTTCTGGGCCAGGATTTGGAGCAGATGGCGATGGAGCAGGACAAGGAGTCGGACAAACAAACGTTGGTCGGTCAGGTGGAAGGACACAGGAAGCAGATGCTGAGGTGACCGCCGTCCGTCCTGATGCTGAGTGTTTCCTCTGCTTTTTTTAACATGTTTCAATAAAGTTCCTCCTGTTGCAGTAACCAGACGGCCTGGAGGAAGGCCAACCTGGCCAGCAAACTGTCCATGGACAACATGGACAAACAGTCGCTCTTTAACGGATCGGACGACGCGGTGAGACAGAGGTGGGCCGCTGACCACGTGTTTGATTTCATCAGGGTTGTATGTAGAAGGTCTCATCAGTGTCCTGGCTGCAGCTCACGCTCCTGGGTTTGATCTTCTCCAGGAAGATGACCAAAGAAGGTCTGGCCCAGACAACCAGCAACATCACAGAGAACCTGATGAACATCAGCAGGATGATGGCCCAGCAGGTCCAGCAGAGTGAGGAGACCATCACCTCCCTGGGTGAGTCAGGATGATGACGGTTTGTTATGGTGAGGGGACAAATACACACAGTGGTGCAGTGGTCAGTAGTTGTGCCTTACAGTACAAAGGTCAGAAACATGCATATTGGAGATTAGGTGTGAATAGTTGTTGTCTTTCTATGTGGCCTTGTGATGAACTGGAGAACTGTCCAGGGTGTAACACTGCCCTCTAGTGGTGTCTGTTGGGATTGAAGGATAATAAATGGAAAAATCCTAAAGTCCTGGACTTCAGACCAGTACTGTTGTCTTTAGGTGACATAAAATGACACATGCCCCCGCCCCCCGTGGACTGACTGCTCCTCTCTCAAAATGTTACTGTTAAAAAGACATAAAATGACACATGCCCCCCCCCGTGGACTGACTGCTCCTCTCTCCTCCTCCTGTCTGTAGCCACCTCCTCCAGGACTGTCCAAGAGACCAATGAAGAGTTCAAGACCATGGCGGGAACCATTCAGCTCGGGAGGAAACTCATCACCAAGTACAACCGTCGGGAGCTGACTGACAAGCTGCTCATCTTCCTGGCGTTGGCGCTCTTCCTGGCCACAGTGCTCTACATCCTGAAGAAAAGACTCTTCCCCTTTATATGATGTCCTGGACTTGACACCCCCCCACAGTGTTATTTATGTTATT